CCTGCTTTCGTAAGTCGATCGACTTCGTCGTTGATGGCTTGAGCTTTTTCGAGGCCCAGCTTACGGCGCTTTTGTTTGATCGGTTTGAAAGTAGGGTCTGCATTGAGCTTATGAGTGGTGACGTTTGGATCTGTGCCCTTCATGTCACTGGTGGTTCATGCAAACGTTTTGACGTTGCTTTTCAGGAAGTCGATGAGCTCCTTTTTGGTTTTGAGAGGTAGCTCTGGTCTGATGTTCACTTTTTCTCAAGATCATAATCGTTGATGCCAACTCGTTCGGTTAGGTTCCTAGGGGGAACTCGAATATTCTGTTGCATCTCTCGACCTTCCTAGATCTTTAATTGCTATTGGGGTGATTCCTTGAGGATTCTGAATTCCCCCAAGTAGCAGATCCTGAAGATTATCTTGCTACCTTGCACGGTGGTTATTCCTTCAAGTGTCAGAAATTTCATGCATTGGTGATAAGTGGAAGCTACCGCTTTCATCTTATGGATCCAGGGTCTTCCTAGGATTGCGTGAAATGGAGAAGGTCTGTCGGTAACTACGAAATCGGTCATTTTCATGATTCCTCCAGCTATGACAGGAAGCTTGATGGTTCCCAGGGAGGTAACTGTTTCTCCGGAGAAGCCTACGAGATTAGCTTTCTGACCAATAATTTCGTAGTCATCTATTTCCATCCCTTTCAGGGCGTTATAGAAAATAAGGTCGACAGAGCTCCCGGTGTCTACCATCAGCTTAGGCACTTCGTAGCTTGCGATGTTCATGGTGACGATTAAAGCGTCATTGTGAGGTCTGTCGAGGTCTGATGTCTCGCTCTCCCAAAAAGAAATCTTAGTGTTGGATTCAGGGTTGGGAGGCTTAGACTGAATATTGGACACAACCTTCCGTACGTGACTTTTGATGGAATTAACGGAGTCTTGACATATATCGGAACCTCCGAGGATATAATTCACCCTCGAACTGGGGCTCAATTGAGGTGGTGGTTTGCTCAGAAGGGCCTCAATTTGTAGACTTTTTCTCTGGGGAAATTTCCCAAGAATCATGTCAACTCTTTTCTTGGGAGCTGACGGTGGCGAGTCTGTCTCCTTCTCAGGTGACCTTTCGCGCTTCGGAGAGGTATCTCTGGGACCTCTTTTCTGGTAGGGTGGTGGTTTTTTGAGTTCCACGTCCTTTAGTTCTCCAGCTACGAATTTAGCTGCCAACTGTCGTTGGAGGTCCCAACATTCCTCGGTTGAGTGTCCTTTTCGCTCGTGATAAGAGCAGTATTTGTTCTCATCGTAGCCTTTGACCAGGGGGTTTTGCTTGCCGCGGCAACATGTTTTTCCTGTTGGACTTCTTCGACTGCATAAGAATGCTCTCCATGGGTCTGATTATTCCGGGAGCTCCCTTTTCTAGAAGATCCTTTTGCTTCCGAGGTTTCACCTTTCGGGTGACTTTGAGATTTCTTATGGATTTTATCTAGTGCAGCTGTTTCCTCTTCCAAGGTAATATATCTAGATGCTTTGTGAAGGGCATCATCGATAGTTGTGGGAGGGTTGAGCGTTAGCTCGGACTAGAATTTCGATTTGTACCAGAGGCCTCTTCTAAGGGCTTCGATGGCAACTTGATCGTTGGGATTCGAGAGCTTAGTTCTCACTGCTCTGAATTTTTCGATATAGACTCGTAATGAGTCTCCCATTCCTTTCTAATTTTCCAGAGGTCGGCCTCGGAAGCTTGTTTTAGGAAATGGGTCGAGTACTGCTTCATGAAGGCGTTGGTGAGCTGGTCAAAGTTTTCTATCGAGTTCGGCTCAAGGCTCGAAAACCATTCGAGGGCTGTTCCGACAAGGTTTTCGGCGAATGTTCTGCAGTAACCTGCCTCGCATTCTTCTCTCGTGAAGTAAGCTTTCACGATAGCTAATCGGAAGGCTCTCAAATGAGCTTTACGATCTGAGGTCCCGTCGTATTCGGGGATCCTAATTTTTTGGGTATCTCTTATGTAAGAGCTAGTGATTATGTCTGTGAATGGGGTCCCACGGGTTTCCTCAATCAAGCTCTCAATTTCGGGAGCTGAGATCGTTGCTTTGTGGACTTGAGCATTTAACTTTTGGAGGGCTGCGTGAGTTTGCTCCATATATTGGCGGATAGCCTCGGGTCCCTCTAGAGGAAGGATAGTTGGGTCGTCATCATGAATCTGATGGGGAGATTCCTGACGGAGTCGAGTTTGGTCGTTTTCCCAGGCATTTGGTGGGCTAAATCGCTCGGTAGCTCTAGGGTTGTTTTGAGGGATGCAACCAGCAGGGTGAGCTGTAGGATCAGCTTCCGTCCTCTGGTGACCATCTCGATTCGGGATGGCGCTCCCAGCTTGATAAGTTGAAGCTGATGCTCTTACCCTAGGAGGGAAAGATATTCCTTCTCCGGACCTGAAAACAGGTGGCGGAGGTGATAAACGTGTGCTCTGTTTAGTAACCCGGTTGGGCGCAGAGATTGTTGTCGCTACGTTACTTCCCATAGCGCTGGTTACGGGTGGACTGAATGCAGGGGTTATTCCAGCATGAGGTGTCCGGTTGGGCGCAGAGCTTGTTCTTGCCCATCTTGAGCAGTGCTGTTAGGGGAAAAATCCAGACTTCCGCGAGGGAACGTGGGTTCGGTCAATCGATCTCGGAAAGTGACTCCCGAGCCTTGACGTTGCAATGGCTGAGTCGTCTCGGTTAGAGATCTAGTTACCTCTTCGAATCGTTGATGTCGAGTAGTTAGCTGTTGCAACGTACGCTCATTCTCATGAGCTCTATCTACCAATTGCACCATCATTCGGCGCATCTCGGATAGTTGAGCCTCCGATTGGTTCAGAGCGGATTGACGCTGAGGGTTCTCGGGGGCTGTAACCCCAGAGTTGTTTCCACTGGAGGATCTCGGGTTAGTTATTACAACGGTGGTCTGGTTTGGTTGAGCATTAGCCGGAGGCTGTTGCTCAGATCGGTGATCGGCGGATCGAGGCTCCGGGTCCTGAGGATCCGGGTCTCTTTTGTTCGGTGAGCCGTCGATCTGAATCACGGGATCAGGGATAGATGGGTTCGTTACCTGGTTGGATGGATCAATTCTCAAGTTGCTGAGTCAAGGATTCAATTATCTCATCCCCTCAGACAGCGCCAAAATGTGAGGGATAAAACTCACTTCCTAATTTAGATCAGGATTAGATTGGAGAAAAGATAATCGTGGGCTGAATCCTGTTTAGAACTTAAAGAATGAATACGATTGTATTGATATTTTTGGTGAAAAACGATTACAAAATGTATCGATCTGTGATTACAAAGAATAAAGAATGTTTTTAGAGTTCTTGATTGTGTGAATAATGAATCAAAATCTGCCCACGTTCTGATCTCCTCCTCCTCTTTAAATAGCTCTCAGCTGTGCTCTAACGATCTTAGCTAACCTCCGAGATTTGCTCTGTGAGTTAAGGGATCCTCAACAGTTTCCTTTTGACCGGGTCCTGCGCATCCATCCTGAGCTACTCCTACTAGCTCTCTGTAAATGAGGTTCGGAGCTCTCTTCCGTGACCTGTTTCGTTAACCTTTCTTCTTGAACTAACAGCCTCCGGCTTCTTTTTAATTCCCTTCTGAAAGATTTAGTTGCTAATGGACTTGCTGTGGCCCATTGTCAGTTCTTGTTGCTCGAGCCCATTAATCTTAGCTAGCGGGCCATATTCGGGCCCAACAATAATAATTATTCAAATGTTCCCAAAGAGATTTATCAGAAGCTTGTGGATTCCTCTCAAGTAACTGAATATATTGGTAACTTGAGACGAGTTCTCAGAACTCTGATAATTCTCTATGGGACATTTGGAATAAGCATTAAGAGTCGAAAGTTCTCATAAACACTAATTTGTTAGATATCTTAGGATTTTTGTTAAGTAATTGAGTTTTTCCAAGTTAATGAAAACTCAAGTACTTAGCTTTTTTTATCGTAATTGAACTTGTAGTTGTAATTGGGATGTAAACATATGGACACTAATTTGTCGTAATTGACGTCTGTTGACTAGAATTGGTCGTAATGCAGATGTAAGGTTTTGACCCTAAGTGGTCATAAATTTATTTGATCGTAACATAGTAGTAACATGGACACGTGTTAATCCTAATTAGTCGTAAATTGTTGACCCTAATTGGTCGTAACACGGTTTTAATTGTAATGTGGAAGTTAATTACGACTACATTACGACCACGAGAAATTCCTATATAACCACGCGAGTCAAAGAGCTCATTTTGTTGCTCTTTCCTCTCTCACTACCCACCACTTCCCCTCTCTAAAATGTATGTTTTTTTTTAGTTTTAGATTAGGTGGTTAGTTTAGGTTTAGGTAATTAGCTTAGGATGGAATTAGATTAGCTTTAGAATTATATTATTTTTAGAACTAGTATTTGATTATTTTAAATTAATTGTGTCAAACTATAATTTTATTTGTACATCTCGATCGACGATATGTATGGGAGAAAGAGATTAAGAAATCTTTCAGGGGCAGCTCGACCTAATTATGGTGATACATTTCTTGGTTCTTTGGATCCATCAGCTTCATCTGCCCGGGAGTTTGTCCCGGAGACCGACTAGCAGGGAGATCATCGTATGTGCCTCCTGCTGATGAGTATGCGCCTCCAGTGCAATATGTGCATCTGCCTCTGTTTAGCCTTCCTCCATACTATCCTCAGCATGATCCTCCTTATGATCCTCATCATGAGGTTCCTCCACACCATCAGGACGATCATCATAATCATCACCAGTATGCCCCTCCTCCCTCCGCAGCTGCTCCGCCTCCTGCCGGTGTCAATCCGGATTTGCTTGTACCACCGGATGCTCCCTATGCTAGATTCACAGTGGAATATCTTCTCCAGATACCGGGACGAGATGGTTTACCAATTGTCGATCCAGATCGACCACCCAACACTTTCTGGTAACTTTTGATTTTATTTTCATTATTAAATTTTTAATTATATATGTCAATCTAATGTATTTTTAAAATTTTCAAATTCTAGGTTTCTAACGGACAATCGTCTGGGACGGAGCGTCTCAGATATCATCAAAGCAAACTTCCGGGATCCACATCCGAATTGGAAGCTTACACCAGACCACGTTCAAAGGACTTGGTACAAATGTTTTGCGGTAAGTTGTGGATATTAAACTTTTATTCTTAATTAAATTAATGTAATTATTTTATATTTATTTGATTATTAATTTTTATTTTAATTAATTTTTGCAGCAAAAATGCTGTCAACGAGAAGGTGAAGAAGGGGTTCAACGATAAGGCCAAGGATCCCCTTAAGAACATTGTGGGCGATTAGAAGGAGAAGTGGAGGCTTATGCATGATAATGCAAAACCCATCTTTATCAGCGACCATGTTTGGACTGGCTTGAAGGCTTACTGGAAGTTGCCTAAGTTAGTTCGAGCTTCGATCCGTTGCTCCAAGTGCCAATTGACGCGTGATGCTCGGGGTAATTTGCCTTCTCGCCATATTTCTGGACAAACTCCACATGCCGGGAAAGCCCTAGAAATTGTAAGCTGAACTAATTTTCTAATTTTTAATTTATTTTTAAATTATATATTAATAAATTTGTTATTGAATACATGAGTTTAGTTTTAAATTTTTGTAGGCTGCTCGGGAAGGAGCACCACCGTCTCTTTCCCGACTTTATAAGTTGACGCACCAGCATGCTGATGGGACGTTTGTGGATACTCGAGCAGAGAAGATCTACAACGCTGTTGAGGCTCGGATCCAGGAGGTCCAGACCTAGTTGTCGCAACAAGGCGAACCCTCCAGTTAACCACCGCCGAACAAGACGAAAAGTTTGAGGAGGTATATTATTATTCAATTTAAATTATTAAGTATATAAGTTTATTATATATGTACTAACTTAAGTTATATTTTTTTATTGAATGAAGTTTATCCCGAGGAAGAGGGGACGGATGATCAAGATTGGTATGGTGAACGATGTCCCGAGGGCTAGAGCAAAATGCTGCAAGACTGCATGAAGAGTCTCAGCTCCAGTCCAAATTGACGAACGCCAACCAAGTCATTTCAACCCTCCAGATAGAAAACCAGGCCAATAGGAGCCACATTAGGGCAACGGTTGAGATCTTTGATGTTATTGCAGAAACAAACCTACCCCTTGCATCGATGTGACAATCTAGACGTTCGACAATCAACCCCGATCCAACTCCACAAGAGCAGGCGAATGCGGAGCAAGCAGCCGAGGAGCATAGCTCCCAGTTTTTCGAAAACATTAATCTATATAATTAGATTTTTGGTAATGTTTTTTTATATTTTCGAAATTGAAGGATTTTAGAAATATTTTAATTCAAAATTTAAAATTATTAATTTAAAACTATTAATTTAAAATTTAAAAATTTTAAATTTAAATTTTAAACCTTGGACGTAAAGTGGTCGTAAAAATTAAAAAGTTCAAATTAAATTAGTCGTAAGCGTTATGACTACATTACGACTACAAACGTTTTTGGAGGTAAATTCGTTGTAAATTTTACGACCACATTACAACTAAGAAGATGTAATTTGGTCGTAAAATTTACGACTCATTAATTCCCGTTTAGATTTAAATGGTGCTTCTATTTTACGACCACTGATTAAGACCAATGCACATGTACATATTTGGACATAAATTTACGTTACATCAACCTCTACGTTACGACTACGCGCTTTACAACTGTTTTACGACCAAATAATTTTGTCGTACATATTACATCTATGTTACAACCATTGGTTAATTACGACGGGATCCTAACGACCATTTGTGTTTGGTCGTTATGTAGTCGTAATGTGTGATTTACGACCAAATAAATTCCAAACGTGCAGTCGTTATGTCCATGTTTTCTTGTAGTGAAATACTGTTACTCTGTTGCGGTTCTTTCGAGTGACAAACGCATTATTGACTTGGAAGTGAAGTTTGGTTCAATAAAGTTTTTCTTGACATGTGTCTATGGAGATCCTGTGGCAGAAAAAAAAGACAGGAGGTTTGGGATCGGCTGATGACAATTGGATTGATGAGAGATGAGGCTTGGATCCTTGCCGGTGATTTCCAATGATGAAAAATCTGGAGGCACAATCTGTAGTGATTCTAGCTTTTGGAATTTCAGTAATATGGCTCAGAATTATAAGATAAAAGAGATCCGTTACAATGGTAACTGTTTATCATGGGGAGGATGGAGGGAGAAAGTTTGGGTTCAGTGTAGATTGGATCGCAGCTTTGGTAACGATGAATGGTTCTCACTTTTTCCAAGATCAAACATGGAATATCTGGAGATGTGGGCTTCAGACCACCGCCCTATCAGGATATGCTTCGCTTTGGAGATAGATGATCCTAAGCGTAATCGGTTCTTCTTTGACAAAAGATTGATTTCTAACTCAGGTTTTGAGGAATTAGTAAAAAAAAATTTGGGGAGATGAGTTATCAGATTCCAGTAACACGATGGAATGGATTACGCGATGTAGGAAAAATATTTTGAAATGGAAGAAGAACTCCAATCTGAACTCCAGGAACAAGATTATTAGACTTTTGGCAGCCCTTGAGAAGGAAGTGGCAAAATTTAACCCCTCTGGTCATCGTATGAAGAAGCTCAAACAGGATTTAGCTTAAGCTATTAGAGAGGAAGAAAGATATTGGAGGTAAAAATGTCGTGAAGAGTGGTTAAAATCCGGAGACCTTAATACTAAGTTTTTCAATAATTGCTTGAAGGGTAAACGTCTCCAGAATCGAATAAATGTAGAAAATATGAAAAACATGATACAATGAATTTATAAAGAAAGTAGATCTTATTTCGAATTCGCGTAAGAGCGTTGCAATCATTGCAAGTGATTATAAAGGCTTTGGCCTTAGGGGCAGTCAGCGAGTTACCTATTTCCAGCAACATAAAAACCCTAAACCTCGTTGAGTAGCAGCTCGATCACAAAAGACGAAAAATATAAGAAAAAAAGTCTTAACTGACGGACTGAACCTTATGAAAGGCTGCCTACGTACCCCTTTCGAGGATCAAGCCGAACGTAGTTCAAACTGATAGAGCTGGAGAAGAGATCGAACTGCCTGGGCGAGTTCGTCTAGTAATTGAGCGCCAGTCATAGAAACCAAACTTGGCGAGAATAAAGCCTAAGTTTCTAAGTGCAGAGAGTTCTAAGTATAGAAAAGTTGTCAAAGTTCTGAGATCCTCTTCTCTTGACTTCGACTTTGTGCTTATATACTCCTCCTCTAGGCAGTTGGTCGTTCCTTTTCCGCCCCGATTCGCGTTTATCGGAAATCTTCCATTTATCTTGATCTTCCTAATATTCCTTGGAAATCTTCTCTTTTGTCTTCAAACTTGACATTTATCCATTCCTGCGAATAATAGGTAAACCTTCATCGTATCTTTGGGCTGTATCTCGTCTGAAGTCGTGAGTGCCCTTATCGCGTTTTAGGTCTTTCCGAGCCATTTTACGACTTAGCCGTTATACGATTTTAGACGGGGTCGTTCCATGATACGCTGCCATTTTTATGAAATAACTCGAGTCAATTGTATATTTTTGGCAATTTTCGGTGTTTCGTTTAACCGCTTTCGTATAATAGGATTTACTCGAGGTTTTACGAGAAAGTAAGTCTTTAGCGGTTTTTATCGTAAAACTCCAACGGTAAGTCGCCCCGCCGGTGAGCTGGACGGGACAGTACAGCTCGCCAACCGGCAAGCTTGTCAAGCACGGCCAGCTTGCCGGCTGGCGAGCGGGACGGGACAGTTCAGCTCACCATCCGGCGATCTGGTCAAGCATGGCCAGCTCGCCGGCTGGCGAGCTGGACGGGATATTTCAGCTTGCCAACCGGAGAGCTAGTCAATCACGACCAGCTCGCCTGCAAGCTGATTGGCCGTGGTCAGCTCGCCATGCTGGCGAGCTGAGCTGATTCGTCCAGTTCGCCGTCTTGGCGAGCTGGTCGGTTGTTCGGTTTATGTCGTTTGTTGTTTTCTTGACCCGAGATCCTTTTGGAAAATATAAGGAGAAGTAATCGTAGATGTTGATTTTGAGATTACCGTTTTTGTCCCCAACAAGGAGGTCTTTTTAACTAATTCATACTTTGATACGAGTTTTCGGTAACTTCGTATCTCCATAGAAAGTATCTAGTTTTCTTATACACTTTTTCTGGGACTTTTAGCCATTGCTTCCATTGTGACCGATTTTGACCCCAACAGTTAGCCCTCCAGCTCGTTAGAACCTTGAGCTTCTAGTCCTGAGGTTCTAGCGAGTGGTTAGACAATTTTAGGCAAGTTAGGCGGAATTTATGGTTGAAAAGTTCTGTTGAAAGTGGTCTTCCCACTCTCATTGGAATGGAAAGCGGTAGGATTTGGGCTGTTCCTAGTGAAGGCTGCCTACGTAGCCTCTTGAAGGGATCAAGCCTTTCGTAGTTCCTTTTAGAGTTAAGGTTCATACGACCTGTTTTCTAGTGAGAGCTTTACAGTTTAGTTATGCATAGAGATTATCAAGCAAGACGATGTCAATGGTGGTTTGTATCAGCCTCGAGACTTGCCTCTTAGGTTATCTGCTTTGACCGAGTGTGGCCATTATATTTTTGGACTGGCCGTATGTAGCTTCGAGTTCGTGCCGCTTTGCGGCCGTCTTTTAAATTGTGTTTTGCGTTTTAAGAGCAAGTTTGTATTCGTATGAATGTGGAGGGAAGAATATGAGTTGACATCTCATAGTCTAACTCTTTTTTGTAGATCTCTCTATTCGTTTGCTCGTTTTAGGATGTTTAGAATCTCGTGAGCGTTTAGATATGGACGAAGAGACATGCCTTTAGGATCTCATTTCATGCCTTGAGACGTTAGAGACCAGTGTGATGGGTTTAGGGTAAGACCTAAGTTTACTTTCGGTTTTATGGCTTTGCGATGACTAATCGGCGTTCGTTTTGCCTGTTGGGATTTTAACATGATTTCGTACCGATTTAAAGTCCGCGATAGGTTCTCGGCCTATACGACTTTTCAGGTCGGAATCAAGCATCCCCGAAGGTGCTGACCAAAATTTGGATTTCTTTATAGCGCTATTACCCTTCTTTTGGGTGTATGAGAGCTATCTCTGCAAGATAACTTAAGTTTGTTTAGACTGTGGCGAGTTCTGTTGTGATCAGCAACAAACTTAGGTGGTAGATGTTACCGTTGCTTGGACCTTCGCGAAGGATTCATATCTTAAGAAGTTTGTATGTTTTGTAGTCGCGGATGGACTCTTTGGTCTTCCAAGAAAATGATTTTATCGAGGAAGGTACTTTTGTCGAAAAATTGTTCTTCAGGCGTCTGCGACGTCTCGCAATGCTGAAGATTGGCTTTTCTTTCATATGTCGCGTTTCGTGTTCAAAATATTTGCGGGCTTGAAGATGTTGCGCGGTGTTGCAAGGGGTTTGTTTTAATCCTGCTTTGCAGGAACACTGATTTGCTTGCGGACATTCGCAGCCAAAACTTATGTTCCTGTTTAGTGTAGTTTTATTTCATGCTAGAGCAATTAGGACCGAGGGGTCACTTAAGTTTGTCCCTGAAACAAAGCGTCTTTAATTAATGTGCTTTGTGAAGTGTTGACCTTCCGAGATCTTTTTCATATCTTTTAAGGATAACTCGTACAGCTTCAGGAGGTTTGTTACAAGTGTTTTCTTACACGTCGGATTTTGTAGGCAACTCGCTTCGGAAATAGAGTGAATTGTGAGAATGTTGAGCTTAGTCAATTTTTGACAAGTTTACATTGTCCATTAAATGTTTTGGCTTGGCGTGAGGGTTGTATTCAGCCGCATAGCCAAGGACGTAGTTGGTAAAGGATTAGACCTTGACACCTTCATGCTATCAATAAGGCCAAGTTGGTTTGGATCACCCTTAAAGGGGATGCTGTAACCTATCTCGGCATCAAAGTGAAGCGTGATTGGACAAGGGCCAAGTAGTGTTTGTCGAGATTGATAAGCCAAGTATATCCATGGTCGTTGAAAACGTTTTTCCGTTTTAGGTTTAATTTATACAATGAA